CACCAACAGTAAATTTTCCTTCGTCAATTGCCTTAGTGATTTTATCAGTAAAGTCAAGTACAGCCAATTCCGTGGATCTATTTTTTCTGAAACCATATTGGTGTTTTGATAAAACGTTGTTCTTTTCTATGAATTTTGTTAGTCTTGCAGCCATGAGCTTCTCAAGTAACTTAGAAAAGTAATTTAACACAGATATTGGTCTATAGTTTTCAAATCTATTTCTTTCTTTCCTTTAAAAATTGGAGTTACTAGTGCGATTTTCAACTTATCTGGAATAATACCATTTGAAAATGTTAGGTTAAAGATATGTGTCAGTGGTTTAGAAATTTCTTTAGCAATTATTTTCAAAACATTTGTACTAATACCATCATATCCACAACTTTTGTTTGAATTCGTGTTTTTCAATTCTAGTTCAAGCTCATGCTCCGTGATTGGATTAAGAAAAAAACTTGATTGATAATTACCTTTAAGGTATTTATCAAAACTATTATTATCAAGTTGTTTGACTTTACTTGCTAGATTAGGTCCAACGTTTACAAAATAGTGATTAAATTCATTTGCTATTTCTTTCGGATTATCCAGGACATTTGTTGAATTAGTTTCAATGAATGTCTTGGATATGTTGGTGTTTTTGTTAGGTTTGTTAAGTATTTCATTGAGAGTTTTCCACACCATTCTGGAATTTTGCTTGTGTTTGATTAGTAAACTTTCATAATACTTTTTCTTGGCTGTTTTTATAACATGGTTCAGTTTATTTTTATATTTTTTATATACTTGTTCATTTTTAACAGTTGGATTCATAAGATAAGTTTTATACAGCCTATTCTCTGTTCTAACAGATTTTAATATACAGTTTGTAATCCATGGACTTTTGTCTTTATTAATCGTTTTACTGTTTTCCCTTTGTTTAAGAGGGAAATTTGCTTCATATATGTCCCAAAACACTCCTAAAAACTGATTATATGCCTTTTCTGGATCATCTGTTTCGTTCAATATTTCATTCCAGCATATATCTTTAATTTCGTCCTCAAAGGTGTTAATGTTCGTCTTACTAAATATTCTATGATATGTTACAGTATTTGTGGTTTTTCTGTTGTGGGTATTTTTACCAAGTACGTTTGTTTTAGATACATGAACTATGGGTAGATGGTCCGAGATATCACTAAAGATAATGCCATTTAAACTATTTTCAACTTCTTCTACGTTATTTGTAAAAATATTGTCAATAAGCGTGGCTGTATGACTAGTAATTCTTGTTGCTTTATTGATTAGTGGGAGAAATGATGAAGTAAATAATTGTTCAAGAAATTCATTCGCATAATCACAAGATTCTGATTTGAAAAGGTCGACGTTAAAGTCACCCATTAAATAACATAGCTTATTTTCTTGATCAATTTTACCTAAAATACTCTTTATCGTCCGGCGATAAATTTCATATTTTTCATTCAATTGCTTCCGATGTAAATATCTCGAAGAGTATTTACCCCCCTTTAAAACGGAAACCACCGTTGAAATCCTCATAAAATAACCTTTCGAACGGGGGGTCAAATGCCGTTATAACATTACACAAACCAAAACAATTGTGTATTTTACTCACCGCTTTGCCAAATATTCTGTATTTCATATCCAGAAAATCTTGAATATCTCTTGAACTCCTCGGAATTCCCCACAAGTCAATCTGAGTGAAATACTCCTTGTATTCAAGCGCTTTCGTGTGGAAAATTTCGTTTGAATACGGCCAGTAGAAATATATTTATTTTGATTTTTTCAAAATATCGGGTTTTTACCGGTTTTTACTCGCACGCGCCCGCCACACGCTAAAATTGGCCAATAAGGAGCACCCGTAGCCCGATGCACGTGCAAATCACGCTGCAGGTGTAATTTGACCTTTAGAATCGATTTCCGACGTTTCCCGAGCGATAGGATTTAACAACGCAATGTTTTGGCAGATCTAAAGTGTATTTCCGGTCGAATCGCCGTCGAAGCTCTCGCGTAAAATTTAGATATTTTGAAATTCCGAAATAAAAGATGCAAATCTGTTGATACAAGCTTGAAAATAACACTCTAAATAGTGTTTTGGATTGTGATTCGAACAAGACTATTATGAAAAAGATATCTTGAAAGGGGCCGAAGTTATGTTCGGCGAAAGATATGCCTTTGTGATACATTTTATTACATTCTTACATTTTTCGGGAATATTGTGTAATCTAGTGAAATATGACACCGCTTGCCCTCTAAAGGTCGTAAATCGCTATAATGTTGACATTTTATTATATCTATCGATAGGAATTTTTTCACTGAATCGAATGGTGTTATTTTCATCTATATAGCATGCACTGAACCGAAAATATGAACCTGCAAAATACCAGGTCGGTTTCGACCTGGTTATTTCAGCACCAAACGAAAAAGTCAAAATTACTATTTGGGGGTCTATAAATTACTCCAATAATGATATTTTTACCATTATTGTTTGTTATTTCAATGAACTTAGTTTCAATGATGTCTTCTAGATTTTTAGTTAGGTCATTACGACTTTTAAACTTGAGTTGTTTATAAACATAAAAACCTACACCTCCGCCTTTCTTTTTTGGTCTGTTTGAACCTAGGTACTCGAAATCATCCAAAGAAAAACAATCCATATTGTTTTCATTAAGCCACGTTTCAGTTAGTCCTATCACTTGAACAGGGGCGGCGCTACAGGGGGGACACCCCC